GGGGGGGGGGGGGGTGAATAATTAATCGATGATAATGATCGGCTATTGGTATTTGCTCTGATGATATATTAGCGTACACCGGGTAAGGAAAACAAAAAAAATATTACTATTATTGTTGTTACTTCTTCTTTTTCTTTTTCTTCTTCTTATTATTATTATTATTATTAATAATACCAACAACAACATTAACATAGTATTTTCACAAATAGGATATAAAAATGGTAGACTATACTATTTTTAATAGATCCTCGACATATACGATTGTGACAATAATTCGTTTTATTTCAGTCTTTCCGCATCGGTGTTTTGGAGGAGGAAATAACATAAACAAGCAGGAACTTATTTATGATCTCCCATTTGTCAACTAATACAAACAAAAATTGTCAAAGACGGAAAAACTTTGCAAGTGAAAATCAAAAAAGAAACTAGCCCACAGACAAATGGTATCAACTAGTAATATTTTTATGGGCTGCTAGCTGTCATTTAGAGTATTAAATTATTATTAGTGGTGGTTGAAAGGTAAGCATATAAAAGTTTCTGAAAAATAATATATTACTTCTTGCTAAATATTTGGACAAAATTATGGTTGGTTTTACTTTCTTTGTTTCAATTATGTGGCAGTATTTTTTTAATCCATTTGAAAAAAATGATAATTTTATAAATTAAAAAATAATTTAACTTACACTCTCATTTTTTCCTTTAATGAGAAAATTTTATATTCATACAAATAATTATGACTTACTTTAGATCATAAATTTTAAGTCTTTTAATCTTTCTTAAACTCTATTAATATAAATTTTCTCCGATAAAGTGAAAGGGAGGGAGTAGTAAACTAGTAATCAGTGTGATTATCAACTTGAGAAAGTCTAATTCACAGGTTTATTAATTTGTTGACTCCGCTCAATTATTAGCCTAAGTCATTTTATAATCCATGATTTACTTTACATCCACCAATGGCGTAATGAATTTGTACACAATTTAATATTGTAATAATGCAAGAGCGTTTGGGACTATAAACAAGTTCCAAAATCCTCCATATCACAGTTGCAGTAGTGTGAATGATGTACCCGAATTTTTATTCCTACAAACATAGATAAGAAATAACTATAATTCAAAGTCTTAATTTAAATTAACTACTAAAAAGCATAGAATTAAAAATGCGAAGTATATAGTCACTTAGTCAGAAAGACGCACGGTCAGAAATTTTCAAACAAAATACACACAGTGGAGAAAAGGACTCGTGACAATGAAATTACCTGCACAAAATAAAAAATAATACAAGTACTATGTCTTAAGTTTTTTTTATATAATTTACAATAAACTAACTCCCTATGTGAAAATGTTAGGTATTTCGAGTTATTAACCTAGCGTTTAGGTATGGATTTAATTGAAACTTGAAAAAAGAATTTTTAAAGTTGTGTTAACAAATAATTTTTAAAAGTTGAAGTTGTGTTTGAAAGAAAAACTTTTGCCCAAAAACTGTCCCAAATCAGTTTTTGGAAACTTGAGATTTTTTGAAATATTTTTTCCCAAAACGCGATCATATTTCATAAACATACATTGTTTTCAATTTTGTTTTTGAAAAATTAAAGCCAAAAGTTATGGGAGCTATGTTTCCTTCTCCGTTGGCCCGTAAAGTTGGTATATGTCGATGTCTGGAGTAAATTTATTACAGTATTGTTTAATGTTCATTCCAAAGTGCCATTCATGTCAGACGCTTAGTTTTCCGTTTATTTGAATGAAATCAATAGGT